GTCAAAACGCGTATAAACATTTGAAGGGGTTTGTGAACACTTGTTGGGGGAGAAAACAAAAAAAATATCTCTGAGGATGCATTGAGGCTAAGGATTTTTCCCCTCTCTCTAAGGGAGAAAGCATTAGATTGGTTAGAACGATTACCGAACCATTCCATTCATACTTGGGATGAGTTGGTGGAAAAATTTATTGCTAAGTTCTTCTCTCCCAGGCATATGGCTACACTTCTAGATGAGATTTAGGCATTCAAGCAAGAGCCGAATGAACCACTACATGAGATATGGGGGCAATATAGAACAATGGTCAAGGAATGTCCCAACAACAATATGGTGGAAAACATGATTCAACAAACCTTCTATCGTGGGATTAACACAACCAACCAATATGTAGTGAATCAACTTGCCGGTGGAAACTTTATGACTACGCCTTATGCGGAGGCGTGTGAGATTTTGGATGAAATGGCGGAAACATCATCGGTGTGGCAATCAAGTGCTAATATTCCACAAGGTGATCCGAACATGATCCACCTTCATAAAGAGTTGCATGACCATGGGAAAGCCATTGCCGAATTGACAACTACCATGAAGCAACTAGCAAAGGCTCAACTTCATCAAGTGCAAAATCCTAAGCAAGTCAATGCATGGAAGGGGTGAACATGGCGGCCCGACAAATTTTGTGGCCTAAAGCCAAAGTTTATGAGGGGCCTTAACTTTTTAATTTTTTTAATTATTTATTTGACGTTTGTTTTTTTACTTTTCTTAGATACAAAATTATTAATAATTTTCTTATAATCAATAAATCCTAATAAGTATTTCTCAATTGATAATATAGCTAATCCATTAATCTTTCTTGTGACATTGTTGTTCTTAGGTAAACTTTTATCAAAATTAATTTTTGAAAACTTATTTCCGCTGAAGCAACGATAACATAAGTTATGAACATTATTCCATAAGCAATTTAGGCATTTGGAAAAGAACTAAATCTTTTTATTTGATTAAATGTATCAATTAAACTATTATCTTCTAATTGTACTATTTTTCTTAATACTTTTAATTTAGAAAATAAATCTAACCCATCAATATCGAATTGATTATTATGCTTTAAGGAATATTCAACATTAAGGTAATATTTTTTAAAATTTTCAACAACTAGTGATCTTAGTTTTTACTACCAAATAGAAAACCAAAAATATTTCATATGCTTCGATTTTTTCAAATCTATTTTGAAGTGAAAAAATAGCATTGTCTATTATGAATAAAATTAATCAACTCTAAAGTACTCTTCAAAATATTTTGAGATTATCAACATTCGCATCAAATTGTTACTTCCTATATATCACACGTTTCTTACGAAATTCGGGTTCGATATTCATTTCAAATGCAATTTTCTTGGTAGAAATCATAGTAGTTGTAAATCCTTCTTCTCTATATTTGTTAAATAAAGAAACCAAACTTTTTCACTTTACATAACTCTTTTTTACTTATACATAGTCTATTAGGTGTAACAAAAAATGGGGTCCCCACGAATATGGGGCCTAAATCGGTTGCTTTACTTGCTTTATGGAAGGGCCACCCCAGAACATGATGGTAAGCAAGAGAAGGACCAAGGGTCCACAAGTGCAAAATCGAGTGGAGAATTATGTGCAAGAGGATAGCGATTTTGATCAAGATGATTCTTATAATGAACAAGAAGACGAGGTGCAATATGTGAAAAATTTTCAAGGGCAAAGAAACAACTTCCAATTCCCAAACCAACAACAATGGCGACCTCAAAATAATCAAGGCAATTGGAATTCTAACAACCAAGGAAATTGGAGTGGTGGCAACAATCAAGGGAATTGGCATAACAACAACAATCTAGGAAATTAGAGTGAAAAAATCAAGGAAATTAGGGGGGGTAACAATCAAGGCAACTGGGGGCTGGGTTTTCAAAGGCCCCCGATGTATCAACAACTAAGCAACCCGCCTCCTTATCCTTCCTGTTTTCCAAGTTCTTCAAATAATGAGATGGGGCGTATTGAGAATATGTTCAAGCAAATGATGGAAAAGAATGTCGTTCGGATGCCCAACTTGTCTCACATAACACATAAATCCATAACTTAGAAGTTCATATAGGGAAAATCTCTCAAGTTCTAAATTCTTGTCCTAATGGGGCACTACCAAGTGACACGATAGTAAACCCAAAAGGTGGAAACAACATGGGACATGCCATTGCCGTTTCTACAAGAAGTTGAAGAGGTGGGAATGCACTCACCTCAAGTCAAAGGCAACTTGTGGATTATGAGCAAGTGGTGCAAGAAGAAGAGATCCCTATCAATGTGGTGCAGTCAAATGATGAAGTTCGGATTGATATTGATGATAGTGCGGAAGTGACTCAAGAGGTAGTGAGCCCGTTTAGGGATCACATTATTTACATACAAATCCGGTAGTGCAAAAGGCTAAGGCACCATTACCTAAGCCTTCACCTCCATATCCTCAAAGACTTGCCAAGAAAATTGGTGAGAATCAATTCAAGAAGTTCAGTCAAATGATGAAGAGTCTCTCAATCAAGGTGCCATTAGTTGAAGCCTTAAAGCAAATGCCCGGTTATGCAAAGTTTGTGAAAGATCTTGTGACAAATAAGCACTCATTGAATTTTGAAACCATCAAAGTCACTCATCAAGTGAGTGCAATTGTGCATTCAATGGCTCCTAAGTTGGAGGATCCCGGTACTTTCCTGATTCCTTGTACAATTGGAAGTGTCGAATTTGCTAAAGCTCTTTGTGATCTTTGGGCAAGTATCAATTTAATGCCCTATTCGATTTTCAAGACTTTGGGAATTAGGCAACCAAGACTCACCTCTATGAGATTGCAAATGGCAGATCGTACTATGAAGAGATCCTTGGGAGTGATTGAAGATGGCTTGGTTCATGTTGATAAATTCATTCTTCCGGCTGATTTTGTCATTTTATATTGTGAAGTTGATTATAAGGTGTCGATTATTATTGGTAGACCTTTCCTTTCTGTGGGGAAGACTCTTTATGATGTTGAAGCCGGAGAACTTACTTTCTAGGTTGGTGATGAAAAAGTAGTTTCCATGTGTGTAAGTCAATGCGACAACCAAATAGCAATGAGATGTGCTCATTTGTGGACTGGGTGACCGATGTTATTATTGATGAAACAAGTGCTATGATCAATGTTGGTGATATGTTGGAGGCCGTCTTGCTCAACTTTGATGATGATGATATGGATGGCTTCATGGAATGTGTGAACTCTTTGCAAGGAATGAGGTCATACAACTATGCACCCGAAAATTTTCCTTGGATCTTGAAAATAGGGCAACTCCTCCTACAAAGCCTTCTATTGAAGAGCCTCCTACCTTGGAGTTGAAACCATTGCCTCTAAATCTTCGGTATGAATTTCTTGATCCTTGTTCTACTTTATTGGTTATTCTTTCCTCTTATTTTACTAACGTGCAAGTAAATTCCACTTTGGAGGTGTTACAAAAGAGGAAGAAGGCTATTGGGTGGACCTTGGTGTATATTCAGGGGATAAGCCCCACATTTTGCATGCATAAGATCAACTTGGAGGAAGGCGTCAAACCATCTATTGAACATCAAAGGAGACTCAATGAGGCTATGCAAGAAGTTGTCAAAAAGGAGATTATTAAGTGGTTGGATGCCAGGGTTATATATCCCATCTCCGATAGTTCGTGGACTTTCCAGTCCAATGTGTCCCAAAGAGGGAGGCATGACGGTGGTCACCAGTGACAAGAATGAGTTGATTCCTACAAGAAAGGTGACTAGTTGGAGAGTTTGTATGGACTATCGCAAGCTTAACAATGTCACAAGGAAGGATCACTTTCCACTTTCTTTCTTAGATCAAATAATCAATAGATTGGCCGCGTGCTTTCTATTGCTTTCATGATGGGTATTCGGGCTACAACCAAATTTTTATTGCTACGGAAGATCAAGGGAAAACAACCTTTACATGTCCCTGTCACACCTCCCTTTTCCCGAATGGATAGAGAGTTTTTCCAATTAAAGTGACATTAATCGAAATGATATTATTTATTTCAGAGACGCCACTTGGAATAATTTATGATGTCCCAAGTCACCGGTTTATTTTTTAAATCCCAAATCTAGGAAATTTGACTTTGTTTAAAAAGTTCGCGAAACCAGAAGACCGGGTAAGGAATTATGTTAACCTGAGAGAAGGTGTTAGGTATTCCCGGGTTCAGTGGTTTTAACACGGTCGCTCAACTATTTAATAATTGACTTAATTATCTGATTTAATACATATTTGAAACCTACTATGTATTTTTTTTTACTTTTTAACGACTTTTAGTATTTATGGAATTTATTTGTATAAGTCGTGATGTCGCACACTCGTTTATTTTTGTACACATTGCGAATCGCGGCACATGAAACACAGCCACGATTTACAACATGTTAACTTTTATTATTATTGAAGTTATGGTTGAGTCACGTGAAACGCTTACTCAAATTGGGGATTACGTATCATGAATATGTCACAGGAACCATACTCATAGTCACGATGATTTATTATTAGTCGCACCTAAAGCAAACTACGATATTTAGAATTATTTTCCTAAACTGCTTTGAAATTTGTTGTGAGGTCATGATTTATGAAAAATTCCTTGTAAGATTAGGTATTCAATTCATTAGCAGATTCATTTACTTGTCTAAATAAAAGGAAGTCAAATGAATAAATTCGTAAGAAAAGGGCCAATCACATTTACTTAAAGAGACTAAGTCGATCATGAGGGTGACTGACGTCCAAATGGGTTTTCAAATGAATCCCAGCTATGAGACCTTCCACTGCTGACTTCTTTTTGAAGTCTACCCCTCAAGCAAAGGCCAAATGAACTAAGAAAAATGTCATAAGCTTTCCTAAGGAAATTTTGCTGCACCTAATCCATTACACGTTTATTCACTAACACATAGTTGGCCAAAAAAGAAAACGGGCATAATTAATCTACTAAACCAATTGAACCATGATTAAATACTTTCAACAAACTGAACTAATGCTAGATTTAAATACAATTGACAATTGATTCATACATCTGAAAATCTATTATAGGATACATATTATGATGATGCTTTAAGCTAGTTACATATTCAAATGAACAACTAGTTCTCTGTAATCGCCACATCTCATGATCCTCTTGGCTTGTAAAGCTTTGTGACAGAATAACTACAAAGCTATACTCACTTGTTAAAAATACTATGCTGAGCAAATTGAAAGAAAATATGAACCAAATTCATACATCACTTCACAATGAAGTAAACATAATGAAACTCACGCACATTTCAGAAAGAAAGTAAAGAAAAAAAAAAGAACAGAATGACATTCAAACAGTTGTTAAATCACCTATTAACATTCTACAAACAACTCACATAATTTTAACATTCCAACAATTGCACGGATTAATAAGTATGAAACCACAACAAATTTAGACATTAAACATGTTGAAATTAGGATAATTGCAAGAGTATATCATAAACAATCTAATTTTATTTATAGTTCAAGTAGAAAGTAACAAGATGGATAAACGCACCTACTAGTAGTGAAATAGCAACATGGAAACAAGGAGCAATCTGAACTTCAATTCCAACAAAATAGCGACTCTTCTTTGACCTCAACATCTATAAACCCAGAACTTGTAGCACAAGATTTAAACTCAGAAAAAAGTCTTGAACCTTTTATCTCTTAGTTTTTTGTAGAGCTTTTAGGACTGGAATTTCAGAAGCTTTTGTACTGAAAATGAGGGTGGAGAAAAATGAAAGATCTTTGAAAGTTGTAGTCTAATTCGTGTGTATGAGTGAGTGATATATGACCTGTTACATAGTGTAGGAGTAAGCCTTTGTGAGGAAAAAATTAGAGAGGAATGCAGAAGATTCTGTCAGCTAAAAAATAGGAGATAAGGCATCCTTTTAACTGAATAGGACATCTGTCCCTTTTCAGATATTTTCTCTTTGTTCCTAGCACCTTTTAAACTTTTGAAATTTCAATATTTACCCCAAGTTTTAAACTTATTCTCCCATTTTAATTCATTTCCAACCAAACAAAATAGATTCCTTCATTTTTTTCTATTTCTTTTAGACCCCCGAATTTCAGTAATTGCAAATAGCTATCATAAAACTTAGATGAATTAACAATCACAGCACAACAAGCAATATTCAAACTTTAACCTATTTTAGGTAATTAAACTAATTCAAACATGTAATTAACCAATTGAAGTCACTCTAACCTAATTAAAACTGACTGCTATGCTTTAAAACGTTAGCCTAATCACAGAATTTGAAATCATAACTAATCTAGAGCATGATAACATACGAGAAGACGTACTAACAATCAACATATCAATTTATTAATTTAATAAAAGTTGAATCCAATACTAAAAATATGTTCTTAATTGTGAAATAAACCTAATCTATGACATGTAACACAAAATGTCAATCCATTAACCTCAAATAGGTCGTAATAAAAGAAACGAAAAGAAGGATTACCCTTTGATGACAAGGTTACCCAAAAAAGATACCCGGCTAATAGGCGGCATCATTACATGAGCATTAGCCCACACTCGAGGCGTAGCCTATGGTATATGTGACGATGTCTGCCATATACCGACAAAAGAAATCAACATTATCAGGGTTCCATGGTGGTGGCCAGATTCGGGTGGCCTAGAATAGGACCAAAATCGACTCCAATTGATAACTCTCGACAAAAGTGTTCAATTAGTGTTGATATGAACCTCAGGTAGGCTAGAATTTGGGGAAACTCGAAATGGGGTGGATTTAGGTTTTTAGTGACTTCTTAGATCCGAAATTTGACGAGTTTTGTGTAGATTTTGGAAAAATTGGTAAGGGGTTAAGATTTAGAAGGGTGTGGGGGATATTGTGGTGTTAATTTGTGGTGATTTGGAGTGGCGCCGCCACCGTAGGCAATTTTTGATGGCGGTGGACGGCGAGAGATAAGAGAGGGGTGGGAGAGACGAGTCTGAGACAATTTTAAGAGGGTAGGGGTCTCTGGTCCGACATTTTTATGGGTTGAGGAGGGGATTTGTGGACCGTTGGATGGGGAATGATGGAGGATGGGGATTGAATGTCGCAAAATGGGGTCGTTTGATTAATATGGGGACTGGACCGGATGAGGAATGGGTTTGTGCGTGTATGTGGAATGTAAATCGGCCATTGGAGCTGCTTGGCCCAAAACGAAGGCTGAGAGCCCCTTCTCTTCTTCTTTGTTCAATTTTTCAAATCTAGCCAACCTAATTATACTTAAAACTATTTTTGCAGATTTGATCAACTAACCAAACTTGTGACATAATGAATTTAATTGATTAATTAACCTAAAATGCAGAAAATAAGGGTAATTGAAAGTGTTATTTATTTGTGATTTTTTATTAGAAATGCAATTAAGAATGCAATTAAAATCCAAAAATGTTAAAGAAAAAATATTTTTGATTTTTTCATGATTTAAAATGCTTCTAATTATGAAAATGCAACTAAATGCCGTAAAAATGCATACAACAAAAATAGAGAAAAATCCTTAAAACTTCTATAAAACTCAAAGCTAATTAGAAGACTATTTTTGGACTTTTCAGGAGCAATCTCGAGTGGGGCAAAAATTACGTGCTCACAGCTACCCCTCTTTGCTCGAAAACATGAAGAGTTTGCGGGCAAAGATAAAGTGAGAAAATATAAGCAATTATTGCCCATTTGATACTATTTTGAAAAAGTTTGACCGAACCTTATTTTCGAGGTTGCCGACATACCCTTGGCTATAAAGGAATCAGGTCAGTGTAGTTTTGGAAATTTTGGTAGCTGGGACTACGAAAAAGCTGTGATTTCATTGTTGTTGGTGCTGTTACTGCTTGCTGAGCTCCTTATTACACCATAATCAAAATAAAAAGAAACTAAACAAGCATATCAACTACTCCCTCCGTTCCAATTTATGTGAACATGTTTGACTAGGCACGAAGTTTAAAAAAAATGAAGACTTTTGAAATTTGTGGTCCTAAATAAGTTAAAAAGGGGTCCAGGATATTTGTGTGGTTATAAAAGCTTCTCATTAAGGGTAAAATTGTAAGTTTAAGCTAAATTATTTCCAAATTTAGAAAGAGGTCATTCTTTTCGGAACAGACCAAAAAGAAAATAGGTTCATATAAACTGGAACGGAAGGAGTATGAGTTATAAGATTCCTATCTATAAATCTTCTGAAGCTTGATCTTGAGTCTTGAACGGCTCTTCATGAAGACTCTGCTTTGAATCTTGATGCTTGCCCACTGCCGGTGTCAGTTCATTCTTCTACGGCTTCTTCTGATAAAAGTCGGGACACACAATGCTCGTGACTTCATTCATGTCTTGAGCAATCCACACTTTTTACTGCTTCTGCATTTTGGATTCACTTCTTTTCTTTTCTTTTTATTTATTTTGGATTGAGACATCTTCTTTTAGTCATCTCAAACCTTGTGCCTCGAGGTAAAAACCTACTCAGACACCAAAATAAACGAACGAACGAAATTTTTCTGCCCCAATTTTCATTAGGAAAATTTCATGAGTTATTTGTACCAAAACTCTATACTACTTCATTATTGAAAGCAATAAAAGTTGGGATTGGTGTACCCTGAGAAAATAGAGACTAGGGAGTGGAAACCGTATATCTAAAATGAAAGCAACTAGGGAGTGGAGACCCTATTTTGGAAAAGTGACTAGAGAATGGAGACTCTATGTCTAAAACAAAATCAACTAGGAATTGGAGACCCTATGTTAGAAAAGCGACTAGGGAGTGGAGACCCTATGTTAGAAAAGCGACTAGGGAGTGGAGACCCTATGTCTAAAAATAAACATCAACTAGAGAGTGGAGACCCTATGTTGGAAAAGCGACTAGGGAGTGGAGACCCTATGTTTGAAATAAAAATTAACTGGGGAATGGAGACCCTATGTTGGAAAATGCAGCTAAGGATTAGAGACCCTATACTACCATGATTTTGAATCCTCCCCTTTTTTTATTAAGAGAATGAGTAAAATGTTGGAAAGAATTTGGAGAAGACTTCCCTTTTTTGGAGTTATTGTTGCGGCAGAGCTATTTTAGTCTCCGCGCAATTTCTTTTTGGTTGCACCTGCTTCTTGCAAGGTTGCTTTGGATTGCACCTGTTTTCTGTTTCTCAAACAAAGAACAATTTGTCAGTTTGAAACGGTTGTTGATTTTACGGCCTTGAGTGTTTTAGTCACTTGATCTTGGCCGGCTTCTTTGATGATAATTTTAGTTGCAACTAGTTGTTTCCTAAAGACCGATTATATTTCTGGCCCCGGAGAACTTTTGGCTTTTCCAAAACTTTACCATGACGATTAGTCACGTGGGACTTAACCTTTTTAACTTTATTGTGCCTTTGTGGGCATTTGCCTTTGATTTTCTTCTTTCAAGAGTTTTTTTTATTTCGAAGCATTGGCCACCATGGCCAGTCGGAGTCGACTTGATGCTCCTGCAAAGGTTGGGTGCCTTTTTTTGCATATTAGCTCATATCAAGCGATAGTCCTATAAATTAGTCTTGTCATCCCTTCTTTGTCTTTGTTTCGGAACAGAGTTAGACTGAAAGGGATTTAAAGAAAAACAAACAATGGAATGGATAAATGAATTTAGATGAGAAGTATCCCTTTCTGTTAAAGATAGGACTTATTTGGAGTGCATGCGAACTTCAATGAATATGACGTGCCTTTTGGACTGGATGCCTGATATGTGTAAACTGTCTAACTCTCAAAATATCATCACAACTTATGCCTCAAAATTGGAAAACCTTGCTAGGACTCTGTCGATGCCAATGGCTGTGAGGATCCTCTTTTCGATCAGTGGCACCCTTTGCGGGTTTTCACCAGTTGACCTCTCTCATTTCTCTTCTTACAATCGCCTTATAGTGCTCTTTGCGAGTTTTCACTAACAAGACTCTTTCATTTTCAATTTCTATACTTACCATCACCTTACGATGCCCGTGAAGGTTTTCACCAATAAGACTCTCTCATTTTATTTTTCTCATTTGGATTGCATCAGATCCAAGCAACTGTATCCCTTCCATTTGAACCTCTTTGCCGATAGATTGGAAGGACTTGAACATGATTTGGGGTAAAAGAATTTAGATTGAATTACAACTTTGGAACCTTTCAGGCGAATCATCGCCAAATCATCACAACATCTACCCCAGTTTTACTTTTGGGGGGTGGGGGATTGAGATTTTTATTTTGGTGTGACTGAACCCCAGAGAGAGGCTGCCTACGTATCTTTTCGGAATCAATTCAAACGTAGTTCAAGGAACTTTGTTTTTGATTTCTTTGTTTCTTTTTCTTTCATGTTTTTTCATTCATTTTTCATCAATATTTTTTTCATAATAACTTCCAGGTTCCAAAAGGGTAATCAAAGAAAAAGGGAACAGACTCAAAGGGTTTTCAAAGATCGGTAGTGTTTGGGTGGCAGGAATCAAAGCCTTCATCATCCCAATCAGAGAGCATTAAAACTACGTAAAAGGGTCAAACATAATACCTTTTGACCACATCTGCATTGATAGTTGTTTCATGATCATTTCCTTCGATATCTGCCAAATATAGTGCTCCCTTTGGCAACACTCTTCTTACAATGTAAGGACCTTTCCAATTCGGAGAAAATTTTCCTTTGGCTTCTTCATGATGCAGGAGAATACATCTCAGAATGAGTTGCCCCACTTCAAATTTTCTACGCCGCACTTTCTTGTTGTAGGCACGGGCCATTCTTTGTTGGTACAACTGCCCGTGATAAACTGTGGCCATCCATTTTTCATCAATCATGGTCAACTATTCTAAACAGGTTTTGATCCATTCCTTGTCCTCAAACTCGGCTTCAACAATAATCCGAAGAGAGGGTATCT